AACAGAAATGAGCAGGAAGGGGCAGAAATTAGCAGGAATGGGCAGCAGTGAGTAGGAAGTGTCTGCAAGGAGCAGGGAGGCTCTGCAAGGAGCATGAAGTGGCAGCAAAGAGCAGGAAGGGGCAGCCACGAGCAGGAAGGGGCAGCCATGAACAGGAAGGGGCAGCAAGAAGCAGGAAGGGGCAGCAAGGAGCAGGAAAGGGCAGCAAGGAGCAGGAAGCGGCAGCAAAGAGCAGGAAGGGTCTGCAAGGAAAAGGAAGGGTCTGCAAGGAGCAGAAAGAGTCAGGAAGGGACAGAAGGAGCACAAAGGTAAAGGAGCAGAAAGAATCAGAAGGAGCACAAAGGTAAAGTTTGGAGAAGGGGCAGCAAGGAGCTAGAAAGGACAGGAAAGAGCAGAAAGGGGCAAAAGGAGCACAAAGGTAAAGTAGGAGAAGGAGCAGAAAGGAACATAAATGAACATAAAGGGTCAGCAAGGAGCAGTAAGGGTCAGCAAGGAGCAGGAAGGGTCAGCAAGGAGCAGGAAGAGGCAGCAAGAAGCAGGAAAGGGCAGCAAGAAGCAGGAAAAAGGGCGCAGAAAAAGCAGAAAGAAGCAGGAAGGGTCTGCAAGGAGCAGAAAGAGTCAGGAAGGGACAGAAGGAGCACAAAGGTAAAGGAGCAGAAAGAATCAGAAGGAGCAGAAAGGTAAAGTAGGAGAAGGAGCATAAAGAACCAGCAAGGAGCTGGAAAGGGCAAAAGGAGCACAAAGTTAAAGTAGGAGAAGGAGCAGAAAGGAACATAAATGAACAGGAAGGGTCAGCAAGGAGCAGGAAGAGTCAGCAAGGAGCAGGGAGGGACAGCAAGAAGCAGGAAGGGGCAGCAAGAAGCAGGAAAGTGCAGCAAGGAGCATTAAGGGGCAGAAAGAAGCAGGAAGGGACAGCAAGGAGCAGGAAGGGTCTGCAAGAAGAAGGAAGGGTCTGCAAGGGGCAGGAAGTGACAAAAGGAGCACAAAGGTAAAGGAGCAGAAAGAATCAGAAGAAGCACAAAGGTAAAGTAGAAGAAGGAGCAGAAAAGGCCAGCAAGGAGCTGGAAATGGCAGCGTGGAGTAGAAAGGGGCAGGAAGGGGCAGAAGGAGTGCAAAGGTAAAGAAGGAGAAGTTGCAGAAAGGAATAGAAATTAACAGGACAGCAAGGATCAGGAAGGGTCAGCAAGAAGCAGGAAGGGTCTGCAAGGAGCCGAAAGGGTCTGCAAGGAGCAGGAAGGGGCAACAAGAAGCACAAACGGGTAGCAAGCAGCAGGAAGGGTCTGCAAGAAGACAAAAGGTGCAGGAATGGACAGAAGGAGCACAAAGGTAAAGGAGCAGAAAGAATCAGAAGGAGCACAAAGGTAAAGTAGAAGAAGGAGCAGAAGGGGCCAGCAATGAGCTGGAAAGGACAGAAGGAGTGCAAAGTAGGAAAAGGAGCAGAAAGGAATAGAAATGAGCAGAAAGGGACAGAAGGAGCAGTAAGGTAAAGGAGCAGAAAGAATCAGAAGGAGCACAAAGGTAAAGTAGGAGCAGGATCAGAAAGGAAAAGCAAGGAGCAGAAAGGGCAGCACGGAGGTGTAAGGGGCAGAAGGAGCACAAAGGTAAAGTAGGAGAATGAGTAGAATGGGTCTGCAAAGAGCAGAAAGGGATTAGAAAGAGAAAGGAGCAGAAGGGCGCAAAAGAAGCAGAAAGTAGCAGAAAGGTAGAGGAGCAAAAGAAGCCAAGGAGGAGAGAAGACAGTGTCAGAAGAATAAGAAGACTGTGTCAAATGAAGAAGAAGAAAATTAGTTTTGAGCAAGAAGGACAAGTGAAGTGATCCCTCCACTTTATTCTGGACACCACATCATAAGGCTTTGGAACCTGGGCCTGGCAGACAAACCTTGGACCTTTTCATCTTCCCAGGTAAAAAAAAATCTCAATGTTAATGTGTCTTTTATTTACTGAGTGTCAGGAAGCACAGAGAGCCGTTGGGTAGGGGTGTCACTGATTGGCTAGAGCAGTCAGCTGTCACTCTAAGCCAGTGATGGCGAACCTTTTTGAGCCCGAGTGCCCAAACCGTAATACATGCCAATTTTTTTTCCTCAAAGTGCCAAAACGGCAATTAAACCTGAATACTGAGCTTTAAGTTTAGAAAAAACAACTCATACAGTTGTCCGAACTAATTAACATCTCTGTGTGTGCTGTGTGTGTATTAAGCAGTTTGTGTGTGTGCTCAGCAGTCTGTCTGTATGTGTATTTAGCAGTCTGTCTGTATGTGTATTTAGCAGTCTGTCTGTGTGTACTTAGCAGTCTGTCTGTGTACTTAGCAGTCTGTCTGTATGTGTATTTAGCGTTCTGTCTGTATGTGTATTTAGCAGTCTGTCTGTGTGTACTTAGCAGCCTGTCTGTGTACTTAGCAGCATGTCTGTGTACTTAGCAGCATGTCTGTATTTAGCAGACTGCTGAATACACACACAGACTGCTAAATACACACACACACACACACACACACACATAGACTGCTAAATACACACACACACAGACTGCTGAGTACACACACACACACACACACACACACAGACTGCTAAATACACACACAGACTCCTAAATACACACACACAGACTGCTGAGTACACACTCGCTGCTGAGTACACACACACACAGACTGCTAAATACACACACACACAGACTGCTGAGCACACACACATACTGCTAAGTACACACACACACAGACTGCTGAGTACACACACAGACTGCTGAGTACACACACAGACTGCTGAGTACACACACACACACACACGCACACAGACTGATGAGTGTACATATACACAGACTGCTGAGTGTACATACACTGCATTGAGGGGTACAGTGTATGTGTTTGTGTGTGGGGTGATGTGTTTGTGTGTGGGGTGATGTGGGGTGGTGTGTGTGTCGGGGGTGCTGTGTGTGGGTGGGGTGGTGTGTGTGGGGTGATGTGTGTGTGTGTGTGGGGTGATGTGTGTGTGTTTGTGTGGGGTGATATGTGTAGGGCAGGGGTGCTGTGTGTATGTTGTCACCCCTCCCCCCTCTGTTTTCTTTCCCCCATCCTTCCATCAGTTTTTTTTCCCCCATCCCACCCTCAGTTTTCTCCCCCATACCTCCCTCAGTTCCCCCCATCTCTCCCTCAGTTTTCTTCCCCCCTCCCATCCCTCCCTCAGTTTTCTTTCCTCATCCCTCCCTCAGTTTTCTTTCCCCATCCCTCCCTCAGTTTTCTTTTCCCATCCCTCCCTCAGTTTTCTTTCCCCATCCCACCTTCAGTTTTCCCCATCCCACACTCAGTTTCCCCCCTCCCATCTCTCCCTCAGTTTTCTTCCCCCCCCCAATCTCCTACCTTATAGCGTGAGCACTTCATTTCCGTCCGCCCGGGTACAGGAAACATAAGTTCCTGTACCACAGCGCGCTCGGCCACGCTACACAGAGTGCCTGGCAGGAGGGAGCGCTGTGCGCTATGCGCTCACCTCCTGCCGGTCACTCCGGTTTTGCGCCCGCCGGCCGGTGCACCCTAAGGCGGCCACTTGTGCCGCCTTATGGATGCGCCAGCGGAGCGCACCCTCCCTCCGGCGAACTGTGGCCGCGTGCCCATAGAGGGGGCTCGGCGTGCCACCTGTGGCACGCGTGCCATAGGTTCGCCATCACTGCTCTAAGCCAATCAGTAGCTCCCCAGTCACAAAAAGTAAAATTTTTTATGAACCGGGAACTAGCGATTGACTTACAGCGTCAGCTGACTCTAGCCAATCAGTGGCACCCATGCCTGATGTCAATCTGCACTTCCTGACAATCCGTTTTCAGAAGCCAAATACCACTGAGCGAAATGGAGAACTGGAGCTGGAGGAAGTCTTTGGGGGTAAACCATTTGAGAGAGGTTTAACCCCTTAAAGGAAAGAGAGCACCCAGGGGCATCCTGCCATCATAGCATTTTCATTTAGATGAAGTTGTTATGGTGACCAGAATGTTCATTTAATTTGATTAAAGGAACACTATAGTGTCAGGAATACATACATTTACACCATAGTTGTGAAAACGCTATTTACCCTGGCTTTATGTGAGAATGACTATGCCACTCTCCTTCATGACACTGTCAAAAAGGGGCCAAACATGGGTGTCATTATAATTATGCCTCCCTCTGGAAAAATTCCTGCGGACGCCCATGATTGGATTGGCTGATATCATCTTTAATAATCTCAGCCAGGGGAGAAGCTGCAACCACACTGAAAACAGCATGCCAGGGGACTAAAGGTAAGTAACACTTATTTATTTTACTTCTTAAGGGAGGTCCAATAATCTAAAACAGGAAAATGAAAATACTCAACTATTAGGAATGCATTTCCTTGGGATAAAACAATACTCCAACATTTGTATTGCTGGGCAGACCAGTGACATTGTTTTAGTATTTGTTTGACAAAATAGCCATGGTGCCAAATGTATTAAGTTTGAAAAATGCTGCACCTTTGTTGGATAGTGGTTTATTTTAATCGAACTTGCATACAAGAGGTGCTTAATAAGGTTCCTCTTGTCTTTATAGGGAAAATAACTGAGAATTTGCCAGTGAGGCACTCAACTTCAAATATTTTATCTCAACATCTCTATTTCTGCATTCTGCTGATCCTGGTCTTAAAATGTAAGTTTATGTTCCATTTGCTGTCATCTGGGAAAAGTGGTAAATACATACTCTGAATGTAAAGGGGCGCTCAAGGTACCTTAACTACAGAGTGTCCAATCCATTTTATGAGCAGATGACACTTACGTTGCAGCAGATCTGGACTGGAAACTAAAAGCAGCCCTGGAAAAAATGATATACCACCCCAGTAATGCATTGCGCCAGCATAGTGTACAGATATAGAGGTGGAAAAGATAACTTAAAATTAAACTATTACTGAAATGTAAAAGAAAGCACTCAAATGGCTTTAAAATAAACAAAAGAGGGGTTTTATTTTAATATTAAGGAAAGTTTGGTAATGGTGAATGTATGCTGCTGTACAACTGTAAAAAATGAAGTAATCTTGTTTATTTTGAAGTGTTATGAGTGTGCTCTTCACTTTGAATATGTTATTGTGCTGGAGTGTGGACCTAGCAACTAGAGTTGAGCGAACCGGAACTGTAAAGTTTGGGTTTGTACTGAACATTACGGTTTTTGGACCCCGGACCCGAACACGGACATGTCAGTGTATGTTCGGGTTGGAGTTCGGTGTTCGGCGATTTAATGGCACGTTTTGAAATGCTGCAGGGCAGCCAATCAACAAGCGTTTGACTTGTGTGCCCTTAGAAGCCATCACAGCCATGCCTACTAATGGCATATTGACTCACACGGCTGCTCTGCCGACACCGGCACCATATGCCTCCTTTTTAGGTCGTTAGGGGGAGCAAATCTCACAACGAGGTCGCTCGGTTGGGCGTCTGGAGCTCTGGCCCAGTACAACGTCAGTACAGATTGAAGCCAGCTGGACACAGAACTTTTTGCAGACACTTCGCTGGGCTAAGAACCCCAACTTGTACAATTTGAGCTTCTGCCGCACATTCGACAAATTTCTGTCCAGTTTCACCTGATGTCACCCACAGTACGGCAACCCCAAGCACCTTGAGGGTTGATAAACAGAGGAAAGATAAACTAGACCGCCTGATTGTATACCTTGGCAAGTCACAAATTTGTAACAACGTTAACCCCTTAAGGACACAACTTCTGGAATAAAAGGGAATCATGATGGAATATTTCCGTCATGTGTGGTTATAGTGCCTGTCGTCTGTTGCATGTGTGCTCTCACTGTTTCAGGGCTCATGCGAAAACCATGTGCCCTAATAAATTGCATTATAAACCTTACTTGACCTCGGTTAATGTTGGTACGCTAGCTAGCCTACTGTCCACACATCCTTCAAAGTACTTAGTGGAGTTCTTGATAACTGTTTTTTTCCCCCCAGGGTTTCCACACAGGCCTTATTCACATGCCAACAGTGATATTGGAGTGTAACAATCTCCTTTCAGCCATGGCCGATACTGAGGCAGTAGAAGGGCTATTACAGATAGAGGTTAAGCAAGGGTTCTTACTAGGGCCTTTCACGGAGCCCCCCCTTTTTCCAAATGGAGAACTAATCCTACTGGTCTAGGAAAACTCGCGCAAACAAAGACTGATCGTAGATCTCTCAGCACCACGCTTCTTAGAGGTCCCAAGGCTTAACTCATTGATCCTGTTAGAAGAATTCTCCCTACAGTACACCACAATTGACGCTATCTTGACTGCA